ACTTTAGAGGAGACTGTGTGGGGAACATTTCGGGATCGTGACTAAAACACCACACGAGTACATACGAGTAACATAGAAGTGCATACGATTACATACGAGTAACATACAAGTGCATACGAGTACATACGAGTAACATACGACTACGTATGAGTAACATAAGAATACATACGAGTAACATTCGACTACATACGAGTAACATACGAGTACATGCAGACATATACGGTAATATACAGGTTATATACGAATACATTGGTTACATAGGAATACTTAGCTCTTATTAACTGAGCAGGAGGTCAGTATGCGGTTGGGAGAATCTTGACCGAGGTCATGAGTACAGACCGAACGCAGTGAGGTCTGTACACACGACCGAGGTCAAGATTCTCACATACAGACCGACTTAGCTCGGTTAATAAGTTGTTTATTACACGGTAAAGAAGAAAACTTTAATTCGTTTGATGTAACTGGTTTGCTTGCAAACGAAGATGAGCTTAACTTAAACCTGCCGAAGTTTGTTCGTCCTCTTTGCTTCTTTTTTTGTCATCAGGTTTTTTGGCACTTCCATAAATGATTGATTTTTGTATTTTAGTTTGCTACAATTTCAACGCAAAATGAAACCGGTCTAAATGCCGATATAGTGGCATTTAGTGGTATATGTGCGCGGGTCATGTCTTACACACATACGCGAGCAAGCGCAAGTGCCACCCACGCGCGCGTACCACACACATGCGCCTGTGCCACATACATACGTTCTCCATATGCGCGCCAAACAAACAAACTTGGGCGCTGATGTGATAAGATGGACGTTGCGCGTCAAATAAACGCAGATTGCGCTGATTGCACACAAGATTTAGCGCGCGCAAAGTAATAGCATCGTAAAAGTTTCGAGGTGAGTGTGTGGCGTGCTCTTACGCGTGTGTGTGTGTGTGTGCGTGTGGGAGGGGGGGGTATCTTTTCATTCAGTGAATTGAACCCCTCTCCCTTTCCTCAAGTAAGGGGTAAAACAGTCTAACTTTCGTTCAAATTTGCAAGTTTTGGTTACTCCCCTAACATAAGTAAGAGATTAAATTAAATTACATGAGTAAGAGATCAAAGTAACAGATCAAATTTATTGGTTATGTACAATAATATACCCTTCCATAGTGCAAGTCAAAAAACGGTTTAATAAAGCTTGTAAACAGCAACATTACTTTGAATGTTTGTTTGTTTGAATGAATTTTCCAGTATTAATCAATGTATTTATATTTGATATTCCTATTTATTATATGGCTGTGTCTCACAAGGACTGGGAACTACCATATTCACGACTTTGATTGGCTGAAATCGATATTGACCTCGGTCTAGATTTTCCCATCTATACGGCGTCTAGACCGATAATGAAATGTAAAGAGAAAAATGGTACATTTTATGTTTATTACCCTCCTGTCATCGTATGTTGCTCCTATGTATTTGTATGTAACCAATTTATTGATGTATAACCTATATATTACCGTATGTAGTCGTATGTACCCGTATGTTTCTCGTATCTAGTCGTATGTTACTCGTATGCACTCGTGTGTACTCGTATGTTACTAGTAGTACTCGTGTGGTGTTTTAGTCACGATCACATTTCGGTAAGACAACTCTGTCTCGCTCGCTTTCCACACGTGTTTCATTCAACTGAAAAAGTGAAGAACCCGCCACTCCGCGCTACAAATTTTTCCCGCCATTTTCATATTATCATTTCGTTTAGAACAAACTGAAATGTCCACATCATTTCGTCAATTTAC